AATTAGTTTAATGTTCCTATTTGGTCAGTTCGATTATCTAATTATCTCGATAAAAGTATCTGGTTTAAGGTTATGGAAATTTACTGACCAAATAGATTCAAAATATTACTTTATACTACAGAAATTCACGTTTTGCCACTGCAAATAAATTTTTATTTGAGGTAATGACAGTCTCTGGACAAAGTGAGAGTCAACTTATTGAATCATAGTATACGAACTTCCTGGTGAACACCAGGAGGGGAGGGGAATCTACACGTTCCAATGGAAAAGGTACCTGCGTTAGATGTTAGGATCCGTTCCGAAGAAATATGGGAATCACTCGATTTATGAGATCTTTGAAGTTATATTGGGAGAATACATTGTGGCATTGTCAATAATTTTCCATAAGCTGTATCAGTCTAACAACATTTAAAAAAATCAGGCCCATAAGTCGTTTCTAAAAGGCGCCATTTTATTTTGACATTCGCGCCCGTAGTGCGCCTCCGCAAGGGCCAAATTGGGCTACGAACTGCTGCTCCATCCACCGTATTCTCCAGATTTGGTCCCGTGCGACTTTTTTTGTGTTCCAGACTGGAAAGTCACGCGCCGCGCAGAAATTTGAGTCGAATGCGGAGGTCATCGCCACCACGGAGGGCGACTTTGCGGATCTCGAGAAAACGTATTTTTCAGACGGGGGGTTAAAGAAGTTTTCCAAAATTTTCGGTTTTTTTGTACATATTATACTATCCTGTGTAGAATGGCGTTGATAAATTCTGCAATTTTTCGCGGGCTGAAAATTGTCTGAAGGCCACTGTTCAACAGGCTTTTGACTTTTGGGAAGCTGAACACACACACTGGCGATTCACCACTAAAATTTCCCTTGCGCTCGGGTGCACAGCACTTACAGCCCTGGACCTCGTGACGTCAGAGCAGGCAGGCCTTTATTCCGATGGCAAGTGAATAAAACCGCCAGCCTTCTTACCATATACTTAACACTTTTTATTCCTTAGTACAGTTTTTTGTTTTAAACGACACTGTATACTAGACGTTCGCAAATCATGACAAGCTACAATTTGAGCCGAATTTTAGAGATCTCCAGTACAGCACAATGAAACGCGCGTTAGTCAAAGGTTCATTAAATACAAAGCTTCCATCAGTTCCACGGTGCTGCACCACGTATATATACACAATGCCTTAACCTAAACAATACAAAAATGAATAATGCCCTTAAATCTACCATCTGTTAAACATAAACGTGTCCAGCGCAAGTGGAACGCATCACTATACAGCGTCATTTAAGCGAATAAAAAAATCCACATAAGAATCTTTCAATTTTTTCATTTTTTGTAGTAATCGCGCATTAAAGCCCGACTAGATTGTGGCAAATCGACTGTCGGCTTAATCCGCCGTCCGCCCCATTTGGCCAATAATCCGGGTTTTCGAACACAAAATTAAAGATAAATGTAAATTACAGCCACGAGCAGGATCAATGGCCCAAGAGGGTGGCACACGTAAAGGCCAACAGCCAAATTGCCGGCCGAAAATCCGCCAATCGAGCCCATAGGCGCGTTCAATTAATTTACCTTACGTATATTATTAATTCTGCGTTTCAACTACCTTTTAAGTACTTTACAAAACAACTCGCTATATAGGGAAATGGGGGCGGGGACGAAATGTATCTGAAAAACCAGGGTGAATTTGTTGGCAATGTCCTCGACTTGTGCATGGGCCCCGGGGACATTTCTCTGCTGATTGTACAAAATATCTTAAACTTAACTATGGGGTGCCAAAGGGGGTGCTTGGGGCCCCTTAATGCCACTCGATAGGCGCTGCACGGCTATGAAATGGCCAATCAGGTGCTGCCAGTCCCCCTCAGCTCACACGTGTTCTACAAGTAAACATATTGCACTAGCTGATAAATAACAAAAAATAAATATAAAAAGGTTCTATGTAAAAATAGGTTAACATGTGTAAAAGTAACATTACATACACTGTATCACATTTTTCAATGGGAACTGCTAACGGGAAACACTGTGTTTTTTGGATTCATTCAACACGCGCTTTAGGTGCCTTGTTCGCATCTAGGAAGAGCGAGTAATTTTTGCGTGTCCTGCAAAAAATGTGCCAGCAAGTTTCAGTTATTCGGAATATTTTTGAACTCACACTCACAGTCTTTTTTGAAACTTGGATGGTTTTTGAACCAAAAATTAAAGCGACGTTGTTGTCCGTTAGCCACTTAAGAGCCGTTAAGAGGCGAAGTTTTACTTCATTTTTTGCTGGAAAACCATCGCTTTCAACCAAAACACCCAAGGAGGGAAAAGTTGAACACTTGAACTGAGTTGAGGAACTTGTTTAAGAGCAAAACTAGTAGGCAATTAGTGTTTAGCTCGCTTCGAAAAGAGTGAAATTAGTTTTTCCTTTGTCAAAATTATGGGTTTTATCAAAAACATTCAAGAGGCAAAAAAGAGCCACAATGAATGCGGCTTTCCATAGAACAAACTAAAATCCCAATTTTACATGCGCTCAGGTACTAGTGGTACTTTGAACACAGGCAAAGTGGCAAATGGAATGTTCTTTTTCTGTCTACAGCTTGTCAACCAGCACTGGTTTCCTCATGCAGATATATTTGCAGTCAAGCTTGAGTCATTTGAACATTTTTCGGTTTATAGTGTTTTTTCGGAAAATTTGACGGCTTTTGAGCAAAAACTAAAGTAGTGTTTTGGTTTGGCTGTTAAGGCATTAGCTTTAAGGGACGCGACAAAGAATTGTGCCTAATTGTTTTGCTCGAAAACCGTCGCTTTGGGCCAAAACACTTAAGACAAAAGTGGCCAAATGAATGTCGCTTTCTATAGAACAAACAGAAATCCCCATTTTAGCTGCCTTGAATTAGTATATTAGTTTCAACACAAACTGGCAATCAGTCGTTCTTTTTTTGCTCGCAGCTCGTTAACCGGCAGAATATTCTTCCTACAAACATACATTTTTGCAAACAAACATGCTTGAGCCGTTTGGACACTTTTTGGGTTCTAGAGGTTTTTCCGAAACTTGGATGGTTTTAGAGCAAAAAACACTATAGTGATTTGGCTGCTGTTAAGCCATCAGCTTCAGGAGACGTGAGAAAGAGTTCCTCCTGATTATTTCACTCAAAAACTGTCGCTTCTTGCAAAAATATTTAAGAGGCAGAAAAGTTCCCAATGAATGCGACTTTCGATAAAACAAACTAAAATCTCCCATTTTACTTGCGCTCAAGTACTAGCGGTACTTTGAACACAGGCGAAGCGGCAATCCAATGTTTTTTCCGTCTACAGCTTGTCAACCAGCACTGGTTTCCTCCTGCAGATATACATATTTGCAGTCAAGCTTGAGTCGTTTGAACACTTTTCGGTTTATAGTGTTTTTCTTAAAATTTGATGGTTTTTGCCCAAAAACTAAAGTAATGTTTTTGGTGGCTGTTACGCCATTAGCTTTAACGGACGCGATAATGAATTACGCCTAACTGGTTAGCTGCCTTTAATCAGTAGTACTTTCAACCAGACAAAGCGCTCATCAACTGGGCTTAGCTCACGAAGGAGAAATGAAAATCCGGTTGAGGATGGCTAATAGGTTCGAAACGTTAACACACATTAACGGTTGAGCAGTCAGTCCAGGCCAGAATACATTTTTGTAGCTCACCCACCACAAACTGGTTAATGGCACTAAAGGGTATGAATAAATCCAGTCAAACACAGTGTTCGCTTGTGCAGCCGTTACATCGATAAAAAATGGGTCACACTGTATAAACAACAATTAAATGACATTTCCGTTGAATAATTTCCAAGTCAAGAGCAACGAAACAAAACAAAATCAAACACAACAGCTCAGTTTGTTCGAACGCGGATTTTCTGACCGAACAGTTCCGGTTCGCACGTTGGAGGCAAAAAGGGGCCGGATTCGATCGATCAATTTTGTCATTGGTTTTTGGCACCTTTCTGAACGAGTTTATGGCTAAAGGAGAATCGAAAATGTGGGCATGCAGAATTCCGCGCTCAATATATATACAGGGTGGCACGTGCAACAACCGCCCGGCTAAGAATTCATGCCGCTTACGCAGAAGAGGATAGCCGGCCCTTTGAGCCTCGTCACACTGAAATAAATGTACATACACTGAAATCTGTGGTGTGTGTGTGTGTGTGGGAAAATGTACACTGACACTGATATTCGCTAGTTCACTATATAAAAACACAATTCACTGGTCTATGTATGTTTCATAATATGTACCATCTAAAACATTTAAAATTGAAATAAGTCCCAAGCTTCAAAGAGACGAAAATTCACATCACATCGATCGGGCGAGAGGAACCTTAACTTTCGATTACTGAATTTATCACGACGTTTCGAACGCCAAACTTCCTCAGGGTTGTTTAAATATACACGCACGCATGCAGACACTCGCACAGACGCTCGCTCGCTTCCACTCCCATGTCTAGTTAGATAGAAAACAAGGACTAGTAGCCGGAGGGGAAAAAGTTCCAACTTTTGCACTTCGACTAGGCAAACGGGACCTGATCGGTCAAATCGGGGCGATGAAAAAAAGTCCATTCGGGCAGGGTTTAACAATGAAGATCGTTTCGGTAGTTAGTGGGGCCTTTGTACTATGCAATAATTATTAGTGGAGATTCGAAATTGTCCTTCCGTAATCTGAATTGGCGATAACCAAGCGTGCGAGCCGGATTATCGCCCCCATCCAGCTCGACCTGCCTCACCTGAGGTAATTCAGTTAAATGTTTGCGTTGCATTAAGTTGGTCCTACTGATTTTTGTTTATTAATTCTCTGGGCGATTTTTTGTCGCTTGTTTTGTGAGGAATTGACAGCGACTGTTGTTGTGAACAAGCGAAAAACCACGCGCCCACTATCGGTGCGTAAAAATGAAACCAAAGTGCTCCAATTGTTGACAGTATCGACTGTTTGCACCTTGTCTTAGGGCCTAATATACAGAACCTTAATTAGGATACACAGGGAATGCCTGTCTAGAACATCGATAAACTAATGAAGGTGGGGGGAGAAAAGGTTCAGTGCGGATTTGTCAGAATCTTTGGGCCTCAACAAGCATCCATGTCACTCATGTCCTAATCCCGTCATGGCCGTCTTTACAGGGCCCGTTTATACAGGATGGGCGCCGATTTCTCGGCTCCACAGTCCGTCCGGACTTGTGCGGGGGACTCAAAGCAAAAATCATCGAAGCCCGCGTTCAAGCGCCACGATTACCCCTCTAAGCGGCTACTGATTGTCCCTTTGGACCCCACTGTATAAATCGCCCACATCCATGCCACTCATGTACACAGTCATCATAGTCAGCCCAAGAAATCCCTCCCTCCGTGAGAAGATCGTTTACCCGTATAATCTGGCATGGCTGGAAAGTCGCAGACAACCTTGAAGAGAAGCGGCGGCAGCAGCAGCGGCAGGAAAATCATCAGCCAGACGAACAGATGAAATGTTGGCGGTGGTCATTTGGTGGTTACTTGGGGGCGGTTATAACAGCTCGTATTGGCGCAGGTGCATGCGCTGAATGATGTCCCGACAGTCGTTGAACACTCGCTTAATGTTTTCCGTGTCTACTGCGCAGGTGAAGTGCGGGTAGCAATAGTGTTTGCCCTCACCTGAAGCTGTGCTGATGCGCTGAAAACAAACGCACACCATTCAGTTACATTGAGACGAGCGTCTAACCGTGCGCTGTTGCCGTGTTGCAGTTATATTTGACGTCTGTCAAACATTTATTTACCCATATTTCCCATATAGGAAAGATATGTGAATGGGAAATTATCGTGCCTAATTGAGTTTTTTACTATGTTGGAGGAATAATTTCAATACTATACGAAGGGGCGGAGTATGGTAAAATTAACAGAAATCCTGAACGTTCACATAATGCAATTTTCTTAACTTCGGATATTCATCTTCACCTTCAATTCAAAACAATGTTAATTATTCACTCCATTTTGCAGAAAGTCTTGAAACAAATGTTGCGTCCAACAGTAGACATTCTTGAATTTCTAAACGAGTCTAACATAATCTGCAACATTTGAATCATACTTATCTAAAAATATCTAAAATTCGTAAATACTGCTAAAATAAAAAATATTTCACCCCCAAAACTGTAAATAAATTCGCTGATGGTCAACTATTCTTCTTCGAAATCTATGCTAAACATCGGTAAATTGCTTGACAGAAATGACGGATAAAAAACAAAATTGGCGTCAAATATTACCACAACATGGCAACAGCGCACTTAGACCGTAATTGAGCGCCAACTTCAACTTTTTTGCAGTGCGACCACAACTTACCAGGAACTCGTCACGAATGAAGTACTTGGCCCTGAACACTTCGGGATGTTCGTTATTCTCGTTGGGTACCTCGGATGGCGGCTGGTACCTCGTGAACTCCGCAAAGTAGTCTTCTAGTTTACTTTTGCCTGAAAGTAGAAAACTGGCCATTAGCTGCGTTCCAGTTTGCCAAATTTCCGATGCAACTTATAACTCGAGAGCATTTGCAGGGTGAATTAAGCGAAAATAGGTGAAAGATGCAAATCGTTGCATTACTGATATTTCTAACTCTGGTCTAAAGTTGGYMGAGAATTTAAAAATACGGTTTTTCAAGGGTTGTTCCGGTGATCTTGCCGGCCACATAATAACCCCTTGGTTTCCAATTCATTTATTATCAAGAATTGTTGACTATTGGAGTGTTATGGGGTTGGTGCCCCATCTTGCTGGGAAAATGTTCCCCCGTTCCGTAAGCGGCAGATCATCAACAAAGGGTTCTACTTGTCTTAAAATGTCTAAATACTTTTGCGATGTTAGAGTGCCATCAGGGACCCATTGACCGATAATTCCACCTCTGAAACACCTGCCCACACATTAAACCCAAATCTCCCTTGATTTCTCTGCTCCACAACTGAATGAGGATTACTTATAAATCCTTCGTCTGTAACGGAAAATCGTGCACTTTGCATCAGTTTTTCAGCAACCAGCGGCAAAAATCCATTCGGTGTTCAAAAACTTCCAGGCCTGCGATGATGTACTTTTCTCCTTCTATACGGTTTCAATTTTGTTTGAAGTTCGTCAAAATTGACAGGCAGGCTGCTACAGTTAAATTTCGCGTTGATGTTTTGGGGTTATTTTCACCGGTTCCTAATAATGTTCCTCATCTAATTCTATCCCTATTTCATTCATATCTTTTTGGCCTTTTCATCTCAAATTGGCCATAATTTTTAGATTATATTGCAATCTTGTGAAAATGTCCCTGAATAGTTGTCTTCTCTCTGGATACAGTTCCTAGCTCCCCGGTTTCTATGAAGCAAACAATTATATCCCACTTTTCACAATTCTCAAATTTCATTTCAGATTAATTTCGTTAATTCCCCTAAAACTCAGACATAAGCGAGATCTATAGGCAGCATTAAGAAACACTTTGACAGCTGTCACTATTGACATTGGCATTCGCCTCGTCGTCCAAAGCCTACCCGTTTAAAGCGGGCATACAGTCTAGACTTGAAAAATTGATGACACAGTGTCCCATATAAAAAGATATATTTGTTGTTAATAACCGGGGAAGTCACATTTGGGAATGTTTTCCGGGCTTTTAAGCCGTGGTCTATGGGAATTTCTTCCTGACGTTTCGTCCACAACTGCGATGGACATTATCAAAGGCGATGAGGCAGTGGACGAAGCGATCTCCCGTACTTTCCGACTAAGACTGAGTCTCATAGTCTAGTGGATCTRGACCACTAGACTCTCTTTMAGAGACAGAAACCACTTTGGAAATTAAAATAGTTAGATATATTTTTATTATAAATTTTMATTCTCCACGAAAAACTACATATGTGTTGAAATGTGTGTATAAATGGCTCATCTTGTTACAGAATTATCGAGAATTTAAAGTATTTAACCTTGTCAAAAGTCACYGGTTTTTYAAATTGTCTTTCATATCCATAGCAACGCATAAACACGATTTGMATTAATTGATAATGTTGACATTTCAACGCTTTTTTCTTTATTTCAATTTTTTTATTATGCCTTTTTTAATTACTTTTTAATTATGCCGTAGAAGTTCGCACTCAACTTGCCCTCCCGGTCTCCAGATCTTTATTTTTAATCCCTAACCTTTCCTCCCTTTTTTCTTATAAAACCCTAATTTTAATTAGGGTTTTATAAAAGATAATGAAAGCTGATGACAAATGATGGTTACTGCTACCACAACGTCAGATAATATGAAGGAGGGAATTCTCTCTGCCTGCTTGTTAGTGACAACTGAAATGTTAGCGCGAGTGCAAAATTATTTTAAAAGAAGAGCAGTAAACAGTTTGAAAGTTGAAGGCAGGCATTTTACGTCGTACTCCGGATCTAAGTGATCAAATGACAAAAATTAGTACACATGAGCAATTTTTCATGTACCTAAAATCAAATTACACAATAAAAAAACTGTCACTGCAATTAAAATTCTAAAATTGCCTTTATTTCTCAAAGAGTGCGTTTTTGGGCGTACAGATTGTATGCCCAAATGATTATTGTTGGTTATGTTGCGTGTTGTGTTTACCCAATAATACACACAGTAATGACTTTTTTGTCATTTTAATATCAAAATGTGGAGACCGAAGCCACTTGCTTTTACGTTCATTTTAACCTCATATTTACTATTGAAGAAAAAGCGTCGAACAGAGCGGTTTAAAGTAAGGCCTATCAATAAGCAAAGACCAACAAAGGGACACTTTCAATATTTTGCGAAAATGAAAAGTATGCACACTTCAATTTTTCCAATTTTTTATTCATCGCATTATGACCCTTCTTAGGTACCTTTCTCAGGGAACGAATATGCAGATTTTGGCATCGAGATTTCAGATTGGACATACAACTGTCCACAAAATTATCCACGAAACTGTAAAAGGCATATGGACAGTCCTTTGCCCTGAATACCTGAAAACTCCTTCAAGTGCAGTAGATTGGCTGACAATTTCCGAACGTGTCACGAATGGACCATGATACCAGATGCATTTAGTGCGCCCGCTATTCGCGCGTTCAAAAGTCCTAACGCCCCCTGGTGGCTAACATTATAACTACAAGTTAGCTAATAATTTGACACTTGTTTTATTGACATTGATGTTTACATTTGATTGTGATTTGTTTTGCTATGTTCTAAACAACTTTTCGAAGCTTTTAAAGAAATAGAAACATATGAAATGTGTGTAAGTATTGTTTTATGATATAAACATCATCAACTCCAATAAATAAATAAGTCTGACAACTCTCAACTGTCACTCGACAACGAGTAATTTGACGTTTCGCAGCGCTACCATCGGTAGTTGATCTTGCGAATTTCAGCCCAGGCATCCTGTTTCTTCTGGGCATTTTTGTAGTCTTTGTGYGCCAAATTGCACAAGTACTCATAATTCTGTATTCGTTCTATTAGCAAGTTGCTAATATCAGAATCTTCAACGAAAATTACTTCTTCTGCCATCTTGCCAAAAACAAACAAAACACGGCCTCGTTTTGACAAATGTCACGCTGTTAGTTACTCACATGACATGAAACTCTTTCTCTCATTGGTTAAATAACCAATTGCACGAACGACGTCGCCGGCGAAAAATACCAACTGCAGAGTTTATCAATCCAGCTAAAATAAACTTTTTAACAAAGTCGAAAATTGTTATCAAGGAAAGTTGGTGAGAATTAAAAAGTATGAATAAAAAACAAATTTAATAATTTTTTAAACATTTACAAACATTTTTCGAATTAAGATAAAATAATAAATTTAATGTACTTTATTCTATATGTATAATTAAATCGTACAACCTCGCTTGACTTTTAGGGTTTTTCTGCTTCTAACGGCGATACAAATACCAAAACACTCCAAATAAGGTTATTTTAATTGTRTTTCTATGTTTTTCCAATTGTAGAATTGGTGCATTATACTAATATAATTATAAATTTTCTCAAAATGGCATGAAATGGAGACCCCTTGGATAGAGGAATATCAGCTTTATAAACGCACAGAACTTCAAAATCACTCCTCTTTTGGCGAATTTTTGATAATTCTTTGCAGATCTTAGCAACAGCTCACCTGGCGGCGATTTTATGCAATAATTGTGTTAACTATTACTCTCTTACTAAAAACAACTTCTTCAGTGTTTTAGCTCATTACTGATTCATTACTTCATTACTGTTTAATTTTTTTTTTCATTCATTACGTCATTACTTATTCAGTGTYGGGTGCGTCAARTAAATCATTTTCGAGTTYATGTGACTGAGAAACTGCGATGCTATTTAAGTTTTTCTAAAGATGCTCAATCGGATTCAGATCTGGCGATTGCGATGGCCATTTTAAAACCCCAATTTGCGAGTTTGTCGTGTGCATCGCACTCTCTGCTTCAACCGAATTATTTTGGCGCAGATGCAATTTTCAGCAGAACACGGAAATCGGAAAATTTGATCCTGAAAAAGTGTCTCCTATTTCATCTCCCTTTGACCTTTGATATCAATAAACGCCCATCTCTCTTCTCCCTTTTAAAAACTGTGTCCATCCAAAACATTTTTTTAAGTCTCAAATCGTCAATTAATTAAAAACCGTAATCGAATACTTCCAATTATCTAAGCCGATTATTCCCATCGGAAATTCTACAGCCAATGCATGCGGTCGCATCAAACATCTACACTTCTGGAGCAAAAACTACTCGTCAAGAAGATAAAAAATCTGTAAAGCGTTGAAAATCGGATGGAAAAAGGTGCAAACTGTATTAAGTGCGCTAACAAGCAAGCCGGCAGACTACCGCCACCCTAAACAACATCGATATAAGGAAAAATGAAGTCTGAACTTACATTGTGATTGCTTACCTGCTAGAATCTTCTCGGCTAGCAGATCCTGCTTGTTGAGGAACAGAATCACGGATATGGTTCGGAGCCAGCGATTGTTCCAGATCGACTTGAACAGCTCGAGAGACTCTTTGAGCCGGTTCTGAGTCGGATCCTCACGCAACACCATATTGTATGAACTGCACGCCGTCACGAAAATGATGGCGGTCACGTCGTTGAAGCACTGAATCCATTTGCGACGCTCGTCACGTTGACCGCCCACATCAAACATGCTAGAAAATGATAAGTACCGTGAAAAGCATCCAGTGTAGGCCTGCGTAACTCAGTGAATTTTTACGACTTGGCGCATTAACCGATGAGTTATAACTCATTAACTCGGCCACAACTCAACACAGTGTTACCCAGGCGTAGTTCAGTGGTCTGTGTTGAGAACTTACTGAAAGTTGACTTTGTCCACTTGAAATTGCGTCTCAAAAATTCCGCTAGTCAAGACGCGACAGCGCAAAATGTCCTGCTCAGTGGGGGTGTAGTTGGGCTGCTTGATCACGTCCACCTGGTCCAGGAAATACTTGGCGCAGTCGATCAGCTGATATTCATTGCTACGCTCGTATGTCGACTGGAAAAAAAACAGGCTTGAATAGTGGCCTCACTGTGAACAGAGTGTCCGGATAAAGAGCGACTGTATCGCAACAACAGTAAAGACCAGACCGGTTTGGGGAAAAATTATTTTAAGTCTAGGGGGAGCAACTTCCACTTTACATTCTCAATACCCTACACACATTCACTCGATTTTGCATTCTTATGTAAAAACCCCGTCGGAGATTAACTCGTGTCTCTGTCGTCTCTCTAGCCGAAAATCCCCAGCCCCAGACGGCACTCTCAATTGCGCCTTAAAACTATTGTGCTAATAGTTTGCTAGAGTGCAGATCTCGAGATGCGCCAACCTCAGGCACCCCCAGGACCGGTTTCGAGCCTATTACCTCTCAGCAGGGTTCACCGGTCCAACCGGTCCTGGGGGTGTCTGAGGTTTTCGCCTCTCGAAATCTGCACTTGGCTATTTCCACGCTGTAATACTTCCTAGCTTAAAGCCGGACAAAAACCCGACTGCTCCCGCCTCTCATAGGCCAATTTCTCTCCTAAACTCCCTCGGCAAATTAACCGAGAAAGTTATCTTTCGACTTCGAAGACTTTCGTCAGAAGGCAAGTGGCAACCTACATAGACATCTCCTTCGCTACTGGCCCGGTGCTGCGGAAGATTTCTTCCTGGCGGGTGTTGGAGAACGAGTTCTCTCCACTCAAGCATATTGAGATCATGATGGAAGACGGGTCGTGTCCGCGCAGCTGCGTCCGACCCAAACTGAAATTGGATAGGAAGAGACTCAGAGAGTTGGTCGCAAAGCAGATGACCCGGCTGATGGCTTCGACAACAGCATCAGGAGAGCCGTCAGCCGCTCGATGTACCGACAGGGAGAACAAAACCCCGGGAGGAATGTTTGCTTGAGTGCGAAAAGTGAGGTCTGGCAGGCGCCACGCTCTGGAGGAAATCGACTTTATTACGCCCGAGACCACGAGAGCCGCCGGCTAGGTAGAACTGCAGTCACACATTGACATCTAGATTTTGCAATCAGTGAAGTAAGGGGGGGTAAGGAGCGATGGCAACTGGATGAATCCTGGTCAAATACCAACCTCACCTGCACGAGTGGTGGCCGATCCCCTCAGCCACCCGGTACCTCCTGCTAGACAACTAACGAGGCTCTGGCGACCGAGTTACAGCGGTGTAACTGTTAAACCGAGGACTAAGGTAATGTAATCCCCCATATCATCCCTCTACCAACCCGCAATGGCCAGCGTGGTAGGGTATCAGGATAAATAAACCCCACAAAAAAAAATATTGTACACACAAAATACACAATGGCCCTTAGTCCCCGGCGGCTTAATAGTCCCTGATTACGGTAGCAATCAGACAAGGCTAAGAGCAAAGGGTGCGAAGAATCTCCGGGATAGATCCGCCTACCATGGAAAAAGGGAAATACATATTGCCACGTATAATATAAGAACACCATCAACCGCCCAAAAAATGCACAAGTTCGACGCAAGGGAGAGAACCAAATAGAGCTCAAATCAGGACATCTGTTCCCTTACAGAGGAAAGGAAGAAATGCTAAAAGGGGGAGTAGGGTTTATCATCAACAAAACACACAAAAAAGGTATACTAAAAATCGAAAGTATTTTAACAAGGGTGATATATCTAATACTAGAGATTAATAAAATAAACAAAATGAAAATTATCCAAGTGTATGCACCAACATCAACTCACAGTGACGATGAAGTCGACAACTTTTACGAAGATATCTCTAAAGCAATACAACAAGACCAAGCATATACGATCCTTCTTGGCAATTTTAATGCAAAATTAGGCCACAAATTAGACGATAGTGAATTTGCTCTGGGTCCCTACGGTTATGGAGAAAAAAACGGCAGGGGCGGTATGCTTCTGAATTTCATCTTACACCATAAACTGCTATGTATGAACTCCTTTTTTAAAAAGAGTGACCAGCGCAAGTGGACTTGGCTGAGTCCCGGCGGTGTTACGAAGAACCAAATTGATTTTATAATATCAAATAGAAAGGATATAATACAAGATGTCACCGTACTAAACAATTTCACCGTGACCATCGCCTAGTCCGAACAAAAATTGTAATCAACACAAAGAAAGAACGAGAAAAGATGATATCTGGAACACGAAAGCTTAAGCAGAACCACATTTACGATATAGATTCCTATGAAACAACATTACGTCTAATCTACAACATGTTGAAAACATAAATGAAGATCACATGAACGTTGAAGACCTGAATAAACAAATTATCCATACTATACAAGAAGCCAGAAAAGAAAGCTGTAGTAAAATTAGGAAAAGGCAAGAAAAATTGAGTACAAACACATTAAAGATGATGAAGTATAGAAGGTAAGTGTTAAATGTGAAATATATAAAAAACTATACCTCTCTAAGACAGCTAAATAAAGACACCTCTAAAGCTATCGGAAAAGACATTAGAATATGGGTAACGGTAGGTATGGTACACAGGTAGAAAAAACGATTGAAGAAAATAAAAACATGAAGATACTCCGACGAAGACTAAATTTGGGCAAAAGACACATCTGGAAGTTAGCAGATAAACATGGGAACATTGTTACGAGCAGGGAGGAATTGCTTATACTAGTGACGGATTTCTATTCAGAGCTATATTCAAACCAAGCTGAACCACTAAATCAACAGTAAATACCAAAAGTCCAGAACGTGGGATCGCAAGATATCCCAGAGATAACTATTGCTGAGATTAAGTCAGCTATAAAAAATATGAAGAATAACAAATCGCCTGGCGATGATGACCTAACAATTGAGTATATCAAGGAAGGAGAATCAACTTTGCTATATGTAATCCAAAAATTATTCAATGCCTGTCTACTAAAGGGTACAACACCTTCTCAATGGACAAATGCTGTCATCATAATTATGCACAAGAAAGGCGATGTCACAGATCTGAGGAATTATCGACCAATAAGCCTACTGTCC